TATAAAGCTCTTTATTGACGAGCCTTATTTGTGTCTCATCTGGGACGTTAGACCACTCCGGTAAAAATCTTTCCATCTTGGATTGGTTGACAGCAAGTTTGTACAGTACGATGCAAAAGTTTTAAACCACCCGCAATTTCTTTATATTTCATTTCCAAGTTGGACTTTCATAATGTTTTAAGGTTCTAAGTTCAAGGTGTCATTCACATCACATGTGGTTCATGAGGTGGAACGAAGTACTCCAAGGTCCCAGTTACACCCAAAAATAGCAATAATGTAAAGTATAAAAAGAAACAGTATACAAGGATCTAAGATATACACTAAACTATAATAATATAATATAATACGGTGTGTTAAACAGCAGCCTGAACATGAATCTGTTGTGAACAGATGGGTATGAATATAACAGCATATAACAAAGTCCATGCTCAATAATCCAGGTATATAATCCAACAACTGTAATGTAAAAATACAAAGATAGAAATGTTTGATATGTTATTCACATTATACGTCACGTTTCAAAACAACGAAGCGAATTCAAAATGTCAAAAAGACAGTCCAATTTACTTTAATAAAAAATGGATGGATGGATGGATGGATGTCCTTAGTTGGACAACAGAGAATTGAAGCCTTCAGGTGCTTCAAACGGTGCCACAAGACTGGAGTAGGAGCAGAGAAGAGTTCAGCTCAGAACCATGAAGTGAGGGGAGAGAGTAAGGGGGTTTAGGACACCTGACAGAATCGGAGCTGCTCATTCACACGCAACCTGCTGTTCTTCTCCAAAATACTAATTTTATTGTGTTTACAAATGTAGGTAACTGTTGATGTATAACAACCCGTTAAAATACACCAGAATGCAGGAAATGGCATCTCTGTTATTCAAAATTTTCTGCTTTTCCGGCATCAATCAGTTTACAAATTAAGCCCTGGAGGACCCAATAAAAATTAAAAAAAATTAATAAACTGAACAAAGGACCAGGGATGACCTTCAGAGAGGTGTTTCCGCACGAGGACGGGTCTATTCATTCACATCAACAGGTAAATCCAGAGTTATTGAAATGTTTCCAGAGGAGAATAAGTCCTACGTGTATTTCTTGTTTTGCAGGTTCGAAGGAGTTCCAGGCTTTAGAGGAAGGAGGATGGCGAGGATAGCAGAGGTGAAGAGCGGACAATGAGGCGACTGACAAGAACTGCAAGATTTCAGTCAAATCACACACGAACATGAAGTCTTCAGCTGAAGATGTTTGGATGGATAAAGAAAATGAATGCCTGTTTACAAGTGGCATTTTGAAACCATTATGAACCACATCTGGGTTTGATTGTTAAAAAAGGACGTCTTGACCTCTTTGGTTACAAAGAAAAGGTGACTGTAATGTAGTGAAGTTTCTCTGTGTGACGCTGTTAAAAACCATGATGCACACTCTGACAAAACTGGATCAAAAATACTGGATCCTGGTCCAGATTAATCACTAAACAATTTGTATTTTTGGTTAGATTGTTTAAGCTAATGTATTTACTATTTCAGAGTACTTCTCCAAACAGACTATATGACACTTGTGACAAAAAGCACAACCGCTTCGTTTTAGTTCACCAGTTGGAAACACTGAATACTTTTTATTTTGCAGATTTGCAAAAATGATCTAAGTTCAGTTTGAGCGAATGCACAATTACAGCAAATATAATAGTTCATTGTTGCCATCCTCTCCTCCTCGTCATTGTTAAAACTAAAATAAATTGAATTTCATAAGACATAACTGGATGGCAACTATTAAATATTACTGTTCTGGTTTAAAAAAAGAAGGAAGAGTGAAGTTTTTAATCATTTAGGACATATGTAATTTGTTTACTTGGTGGAAAAAAAGCAAATTCAATAATATATATTGATTTTTTTTTTTTAATTTAGAAGGCAAGTAGTGCTTAAAATTTAAATCTTGCTCACATATATTAGTGACAAAAGTAAAAATAAAAAAAAATGCACCATAAATGTTTTCATTCTGTTGGTTAAATGTTCTCTGTATTTAACCAAAACTGCTGGTAATAAAGACTTTAAATGAGCTCAAACATGAGGTTATAAATTTAAAAGTGTATACATATGCATTGTATAGAGCATCACTTTTCTTAAAATAAAAATAATAAACTCAGATGAATTTCAGGTATGTCTTTATCATCATGTTCTCCTGAGCAACATAATGAAACACAGCTCATGCCATTCAAGAGAATTTCCTTTTTATGTCCACTGAAGTAAACATGTGTTCGTGTTTTTTATGTCCAATGAAGTAAACGTGTTCATGTTTTTTATGTCCAATGAAGTAAAC